ACTAACCCTTGTACAAAACTAAGACACTTGAAATTGTTAGGAGTTAATTCTGCCAACTTAAAGTCCTCGCAATGTTTGTTCACGATTGCGGCGAACGTGGAGTTGTCCTCATTTTCACCTTTTACGAAGTTAAGACATTTTCACCTTTTGTGACGTCTTTGGACTGAAGAGCTCTGTAAGGCATGTAACTGCTTCGTCAAACATTAAATCGTTTGTCTTTTTTGGCAAAATGTAATCCACAAATTTTGTGTATTCTTCTGTTCCTAATAGACGTAGCTCCTTAGCTTCCGTCCAATTTTCGCAATCGATGTTGAAGATGTCTTCATGACGTCTGAAATAGTCCCCGAAATTTTTATTCTCTTCTGGAGAGTATTTGAATGTTTCTATCGTGTTCCAAACTGCGTCTTGGGAAAAAATCGCCTCTTTTTCGATATTTTCTTGTTTGTTACCCGCTACCTTTAATATTAGTTCCTGGAGTTGCATCTGTCTTTCTTCATTTTTCATTTGTCTGTCTTCCATTCTTTCTTGGAATTTTAGTTGCTGTTCATTTTGGTATTTTATAAGTTCTATTAAAATACTTTTAAAGTCCTCCATGATAAGAGTCTTACGCAAAATTCGATTTTACGTATTTTAATCCTCGTAAATCTTTGTCGTCAAGTTGTTGTGGACACTGATAAACGGTAATTTTTTTTCTTTTTGAGTCTCCGAGAAGTGCAAATCTTCGTCATCCAAGTTGTTGTGGTCGACGAGAGAGAATTTTTTTTCCGTGTGAGTTCAATGTCGTCGTCGCCAAGTTGTTGTGGATTCTGGGATGAAATCTGGTACCAATAAATAACAAACGTCAAGAAAGAATATAGGAAAATAATGTATTAACGTAATAATACAAACTGATAATGCAGGTTAGTAGTTCCAGGAATGCGGGTTAGTAGCAAAATATATATACAGTCTTTGGTATCAACGTATCACTGTATGACTTCTTACTGAGTCTATGTGCTCGCTCACTGTAACTCGTGCTCGTTTATCGCTCTCGTTCTTCTCGGGTATTCCCTAGCAGTAGTATATTTATACCCTGGGTGAGTCCATTTGTGTAAACAAAGATGAGGATAATCGTCCGAATAATGTAAATAGTGTACATAATACCCCATCGCAGAAATATAAACAGATACTACAAAGAATTGCAGCAATCTGCCTTTACTTCTCTATCTCACGTGTTTGATATACGAAATCACTGTATCCAGCAACTATGTATACAAAATAAAATTCAAATAGTTTTGGTTTAATCTCTCTAGAAAGAAAGTGCTTTACAATGGAAACTACAACAGATACAACATAACTGAATTTTGTATATTTTCCACACAAGACTTGCTGATGCATGATGTATAGATGAGGAAACATTCATCTCCCGGGAATTGCTGTAGAAGAGAAACAGCTGCAACAGTTTCCCACGCACAGCAGGAGCGTTATCAGTGTAAACAAAAGCTAGATTTATGAAATCATTTTGCAATTTTCAAGTTAACGAATTCTCTTATTTCATTAAAAATATCCTATCCAGTTGCGCAACCAATCAGACTGCACGCCAACAAATTTTTCACACATGTCAAGATATTTATTCGCACCTATCAAGTTCGAATTCCAATCGAGTTCATGACATTAACTTACGAATTTTGAATCATGCCTTTGAAAAAGGTATGACTCTATTTCCTCTCCCTCTGTCTATGGGTAAATACTAGGAGAAACTGTTCTGTAGCCTTGACTGGAAACCTGTCTAGGAGAAAGAAAACTTCAAGTTTGTTTCATTATTTAAAATGAAAGTTAAATCTTTCAGTATCTGTCTATATTTCTGAGATGAGGTATTATGTAAGGGTTCAGTTCGACATTCCAACCACCTGAAGAAGGCCGGAGTGTACAACGGTCGAAACGCTGTAATAAATATGGCGACAAAGATGAGGACAATAGTTTGAATAATGTAAATAGTGTTAAATCTTTTATTCATCGTAATTATTATAAATTCTGGCGGAGAACATATTATGCAGCTAAAGAAAAGGATCGTTTGCATTGATGCAATGATCCAAACTACAGTCGACTCCCTTTTTGAATAAAAAGAACTTTAGCTGTATGTTGGCCGCCTGTACTACTTATTAAAAGTGTCGCTCTCTCCCTCCCCCCTCCTCGGTTTTATTTGTTCTGTCAAGTCTGAAGCAACGTCAGTCACTCTTCTCAGTATCTTCATGGGTAAGAGACTAACATTTTGGAATATCCCATTTTTTGACCTGAACATTATATCCTGACACGGCAATTAGCTAGCACTTCTTGATGAAGTCACACCCTGTGAACAATTTCTCAATGGCAGAAATTAAAGGAAATAACAAATAACAAAGGAAAGACAAGAGAAATTTACGCACTAAAAATATTGGCAGGTGAAAAAATATCAAAAGAAAAACAATCCATTCATGAAAAATATCCTAACAAACGTTTCTTTTTTTTACAGTGATTTTCAGCCTGTACAAGGCCCGAGAGTCACTCGAGGTAGAGGGTTACAAAGTAAGAGCTAAAGTTTATGGTGTTATGTGGGGAAGATAACGGTTAATCCGAGACTTGAACAGGTTAAGATTGTAATTATTGGGGAAACAACTTCTTGAGAGTCGGTTCCATAAGGCAGTGGTTTGCGGGAAAAAGTGGTTCAAGTGGAAATTATATCTCACCGACGGAATGCGAAAGAAATAAGAGTGATTCGCTACAATGGACATGGCAAGGCAGGTCTTATCCGTGAAGGTTAGAACGGGTGGAACTAAGGAATGTAGTTCGTCTGAGCACTTTCCATAGAAATATCGATAGAACAACGAGAGTCTTCGACGGTTTGTCTGTAAGAAAGGGGGGAGTAGGGTGGAAAATAATTTATCAGCCACAATGACACAGAGACAATTTTTGGATTTTATCGAAACTGGAAAGTGAAAAACTGGGCAGCTCCTGCCCAAATATGACTTGCAGTTCTCCATTTTTGGTCTGATCTCGCTCTTATAAAGATAATGGTTTTTCAGTAAGATGAGAAAAATTGAATGTAATAACTACAACTGTATAGCCAATAAAAATTTGCTTTAGTCCTTTGCCTAGAAAGACCGGTTGAATGAAAGAAAATTACTTTGTTGTGTCTCTGAAAATGGATTTAAGTATTTAGGCGGACGCTTTAAGACAGGAAGGGGATAGCAGGTGAGGCGGAAGAGGATAGCAGGTGAGGCGGAAGGGGATAGCAGTTGAGGCGGAAGAGGATAGCAGTTGAGGCGGAAGAGGATAGCAGGTGAAGCGGAAGGAGATAGCATGTGAGACAGAAGAGGATAGCAGGTGAGGCGGAAGGGGATAGCAGGTGAGGCAGAATGATTGAAAGACAAAGATTTAGAAACAGTTTTAATGCCAAAAATAAATATAATTTCAAAATTTAAAATATTATTATGGATTACTTGTACTTGCATGCACGAGTCCCAGTATAAATATTTATAAATAATTATTGACCGATATTTTTACATTATATCAAATATTAAGAATATAACAAGAGTTAGCAACTTTGAGGAGAGAGTTATTAATAATAATGTTTTGACATCGAATCCGCGGTTATCTCCCTTTAAACCTATCTGTTTTTTTTTATTTTTATTTTTATTTTTTAATTATTTTTAAATTTATTTCTTATCACATAACATTCGGTGAAGCATGAGCAAATTTTCTTTCCGAAAATGCGACCCAGAGAAAAAAATTGTTTTGGAACCACTGCTTTAATGGAAAGGTGATTAAATGTTATAAAACGCCTTCCTTTCTTAAATGTTAACTCAGTCTTTGACAGATTTTAAATAAAAATTGGAGAGAATTGATATTTTTAAAAAAAGTAGGAAAAGAAGTAGCATATTATTTTTTTTAAAGATTTGATTTAAAGTTTGCAAAACAAATAAATTTGAAATAAATTACAAAAAAGCATAAAAATATTTGGTAACGAAAAAGTCTTTCAAAAATTCAATTTAATTTCAACAATATGAATTTTAATTAATATTACCAAACATTGGAAGAATTTAGAAAAATATCAGACCAATTGATTCAGTCAACTACAAATTTTCTAATAATTATTAATTAAGTCAGCTTACTTGAGTTGTTGCTTCTTTTTTTACACTTTTCTAAATTATTGTAGTTTTTATTTTCACTGAAAATACGTGCAATTTTGGTCTATTTATTTTTCACCTAAAAAATAAGTCTATTCAAAATAAAAATATAACAAAACAAAAGAAAAGAATTATGCACACAGGGTTTCTGTTTCAAAGGCCGTAGATTATTTTTTTTATTATAAACTAGCAAATAGAACCGGCTCTGGCAGGATCTGTAAAAGTCTCCAACTCGATTATCGCTGTGTAGAAAACCAAATCAGGATTTTACACACTCCCGACCGGAAAGACGTTATGCTGTATATTCTCCATTTGAATATCTTCAAATTCACCTTGTAAATATAACTCCCCCAAAATTCTTGAACTGACCAATTATAAAGAGGTTTAAAAGTTTTTTAAAAATTCCAAGTATACAATATAAAAGCCGGCAAACTCCGACGGAGTTTGAATTTGGTCATCCGATTCCATTGTCTGCATATCTAACCACTAAGCACAAAGATAGATATACAGAGAGAGAGAGAGAGAGAGAGAGAGAAAGAGACGTGGAAGCCGAAAAAATGTTTTTTTTTTTTTATCTACGGAAAGTTAAATTGATTGATTTATTTTTACGGCTTATCAACCTTTTGCTGGTTATTTAAAGCCATAAAATATTTTTAGATTTTAATAATTATTTTGCCGATAATAATAATTTACTCATGCAAGTTTTACTAATTAACCCATAGCTGGGAGAGAAGATTTAGAGTCATACCTTTCCCAGGGGTATTTGCGCATATATAACGAACATGACTGGAATTGGAACACGGCACTCCGATTTCCAATTCAGATCCCTTATCGATTACACCACCCGCACATCCAAGTTTACAGAACCCGATATTCCCAAGCCGTTACTCGTCTAAGTACTAACCGGGCTCAACTTTGCTTAACTTCGGTGATCGTACGAGAACCGGTGCTTCAACGTGATATGGCCGTAAGCCCGGGGCGCGGGGATCAATAAGATGCAAACACAATGAAATATTGGTCGTTGGTCACAAAATTGATTCTGTCGGATGTGTCGCATTTGACCTTGTATTTGAAACCTCATTCCGTCTCTTAAGACCGTGTCGTACTAAGCGTTCTCTTTTCCCTCTGTGCCATATTAAGCTTGAGAATGACAAATCGGAGAACCGAGTTCGAATTCCAGTCGGGTTCATTACATTCACTTACACACAAAAACCCTTGAGAAAGGCATACATCCAACTCATCTCCCCAGCTATGGGTTAAATAGTATAACTTTTTTCTGATCGATACTCTCCAGAAATTGTTAATGCAATATTCACTCGCAATAATTAAAGCATTACTCGTACAATTCAGAATGTTTAAACTTTAAGTAACCAACAATATGTTGATAAGCCGCAAACGAAATATGTCCTTGTGTCTTACTATGATTTCTAACTGTATACCACCATATTTTGTGTTAGTTCATACCAAGTTTTCTACATCCATACCCCAATCCTCACTTCCAAATCGTTTAGATGATCTATGATTTATTTTCCACATTGCAGCCTCTTTCAAACGTCGTAAACCTAACAATATTCTATAACAGTCTACTTGGCAAATATTCAGAGGAGCGCTACATACGACAGTTTCACGATTTCAAACCTTTACAGCTAGATGGAACTATACTACCCTCACGAAATCGAATCACTCTCATTCCTTCTGTATTCCAATCACGAGGAGGAAGTACCACTTTGCGCAAGACCTACTAATCTGTGGATCCCCCTCTCCCGTTGATGCTTTTCTGGGCACTACACTCTTGATGATTGAGCCATGGATCATGCTCCACGTTGGCATCTACGAGGACGACACCACTATTTACTCCTGCCTCAATAGTAAATCTGGTATCGCTGACAAAACTAACCTGGCTGATGATCTCAAAAAGGACCTCCAATCTGTGGTTCACTGGGACAGGAAATGGCTTGTAAACTTTAATGCCTCCAAAACTAAACTGCTCTCCTTTACCCATTACAGAGACCCTTTCCTGCCTCCTATCAGAATGGCCGATTCCCAACTCCTCAAGAGCGCCTCGTTACGCCTGCTTGGCCTCACGCTGTCCGCTGACATGAGGTGGAATAAATACATTGAATCAATTGCTTCATCTACCGCAAAGAAAGTTGGTTCTCTGTGTCGTGCCAGGAAGTTTCTCTCGCGTCCATCCTTCAAATCTATAAGTCAACCATCCGTCCTTGCATAGCATATTGCTGTCATAAATAGTCTGGTGCTCCCGCTGTACGTCTCAAGGTCCTTGACAAAATCCAGAGACGAATATGCAAGATGACATGTCCTGATCTGGCATCTAGTCTACAATTGTTATAACACAGACGTGTCGTGGCCTCCCTCTGTCTCTTCTACAAGTATTTTCACAGCAACTGTTCTCTCGAGATACTTTCGATGGTTCCCAGACTGCATGAATTTAATCGAGCTACCAGGCTGTCATCTCGGTCCCACTCTTTCACTGTGAATACGGTTAAATGTAACCGTCTCTTCTACTCTTCTTCTCTCACACTTCCCGTCTGTGGAACTCTCTTCCCCTTACGCGCTTCCTCGCTGACTATAGTCTTCAAAAATTTAAGTGTAATGTCAATCGACATCTGATACCCTTAGCTTGTTCCCCGTCTTCCTCTGTATCCTTTCCTTAAACACGACTCTTTACTCTTGTTCTCAATCCTCTGTAACCCCCTTGCGTGCTAGTGGCACTCCCGCCTTGCTTGGGATGAATTGCCTGAAAAAATCCTATTAATCTTCATTTCCTGCCACCTCCTCTTATTCATATCACACGTAGAAGAGACTCGAGGCGACGTGAGATGTGGTTCTACAGAAGGATGCTAAGGATATCATGGACCGGATGAACAACGATGAGGGCTTGGAGAAGATGCAAACAAGGAGGAGGCTTATAGTTAAAATCGGGAAGAGGCAACTGAAGTTTCTGGGACGCGTACTGAGGAAGAAGGGCCTGTAGAATCTGATACTCACAGATCTAATAGAGGGAAAGAGAGACAAGGGAAAACAACGCATGACATACCTGGCGGGCTTAAGCAAGTGGATGACAGAACGTAGGGAAGGTGGCAGAAGGAAGGAACTTGTTGAGAGCTGCTAGAGATAGAGTGAGATGGAGAGCTATGTTCGTCAACGTTCTGAAAGGACACGACACATAGAAAGAAGTCGTGCAAAGTTAAATATGCCAGATGACAATAGATGTAGCGATATTAAGATACATGTCACACCATGAACTGTCAATATTTGTATCCGTTCTGTCACAATGTTGTCAATTTTGGAAAGTGTTAGGAAATACTAAATATGAGAAAGTCATAAATTCTTTCATTTGTTTTTTGTTCTTTTTTTTTGTTTTTTAGTCTCGGTCATTATTTTTTTTCTTCTTTTTGTCTCGAAAATGTGAATCTTGCTTTTCAAGTAACATTCAGTAATAAGGAAATGGAGTATCCTTTCCTCGTCAGATTTTTGATTAAGCGGTAATATAATGGCTAGAATTTCATTATACGAATATATAAAAAAACTTTCATTCTCTCCAACCGTGCTTTTACTCTACAAATGTATTGATGCTTACGTATCTCGTTATATGGAAGTTCGTTTCATTATTTAAACAAATACGTTAAATCTTTCAGTATCTGTCTACATTTCTGAGATGAGGTATTATGTAAGGGTTCAGTTCGACATTCCAACCACCTGAAGAATAACGGCCGAAACGTTGTAAAAATTATGTCGACAAAGATGATGACAATAGTCCGAATAATGTAAATAATGTTAAATCTTTTATTCATCGTAGTTTCAAAAGGACGATTTTCCCATGACAATGCTTTTTTAACTACCTTTATTCTTCCGCAATATCTTTTGTTTTAAAAAGTGACAATTAGAATTGGACTCACTAATTTGATATCTACAACATTCTAGAAACTATTACAGCTAAAACTGATGCAATGCAATATTTATCATTTACCAATTTATAAAGAAATAAATTTGAAACAATTTTTTATTCATAAATTTATAAACATTTGCTGAATCATTAAAATATGTAAACTAACTATAAGGATCTACGTATTATTTACCATTTTAAAAAATTTGAATTAATTGGCAATCAGCCGATGTTTTGCCAACCATTCCAATAAATAATATAATAAATAGGGTAAATCAACAATCTAATAAATAAATAGAGTTTATTATTTTTGTTGTCACTTCTCAAGAAAAAATGTATAAATTCACTTTCATCATCTTTTTAGGTTTTATTACAATTCTCATCATCGCTTTTTAAAACAATAAACTTTGCCGAAAAGTGAAGGTAATTAAAAAACCGTGTCATGCGAAAAACCATCCTTTTTAATATTTAAGGTTTGCCTTGTGTATTAAGCTTAAATAGGGGGTTTGAAATAAGAAGACTGCGTTATGTCAATTATCATTGTAATTAGAACCTGCCTACCTTAAAGATCAGCATTTAAAATCCGAGCTCAAATAAAGGCACCAGTGAAAAATATGACACTGGTTAGCTTACTAAGCAGATCCGATGTGTTAACATACTTTTATTATTAAGGTATTCTCTCTGACAGATGTAGTCTCGTCAAGAGAAGATAACTCTCCCATAATTATAGCGATTCTGCCTTCTATACAGTACCTCATTTACATGTTTGTAATTTTCTCTTTCCCATCAACGATGTACACAGTTTTATTATTATTTTCTCTTACCCGTCAATAGGTAAGATAATAAAAAAAAGTGTAAATAAACAATCTAATAAGTAAATAGTGTTTATTATTTTTGTTGTCAATTCTCAAGAACAAAGAAAATGTATAAATTCATTTTCATATATTTAGGTTTTATTACAATTCTAATCATTGCTTTTTTAAAAAACAATAAACGTTGCTGAAGAGTCAAGGTAATTAAAAAAACGGTGTCTTGCGAAAAAACATCGTTTTGATACTACGTCTTATTGAGGACAGGTTTGTCCATGTTTGTCAAATGTATTACAGACATTCATTGAAAATCAGGGAGAAAAAAGATTTTCAGTTATCAGCAATTATGCGTATACTAATGACAGAATTAGGCCAGTCTTTGATTTTGAATATCTTTCAGCCTTGGATGACAATGAAAAAAAGGCATTTTCTGTTTTAGAAACGGAAAATTCAAATATATTGAAAAGAGAATTCTAAAACTTCGATTCACATATCTTTACAAAATAAAATAAAAAAAAAATTGAAAGAGTTTAAAATTGTCCCTTTGTGCTGTTTCCCCTTTCTCCCTGTTCTCTTCATAACACGTTTCATTTGTCCGCCCTTTTTCGCCATTCAGATAAGAAGAGACATTTTTGAACCCGTAACCTGCCGACGTCAATTTAAATAGACGCTTTCTTTTTCATTTCATATTTTTTTTATTTTATCTTTATCTAAAGTATACATCTGAACTGTAATTTTTAAGCTGAAATTTTCACTAAAATATATTGAAAATTTTCTCATTTTTTTCATCAAAAGGCAAACTTTGAGCAAAATGGTTACAATTTATGGATGAAAAAAAGAAAGAGTCAGTGTGATCCATAATTTCCTGTCGTTAGTTTTAAATTGTAGCCTCGTTTTGTCCACGCAATTTTTCTTTTTTTTTAAATCATTTCAACATAAGCAAGACGATAAAAGCCACTAAAGTGCATAGAGCTTACATAGAATAAAAGAAACAGAAAGGGCGATAAAAGAATATAATTTAAGGAGACAAAACACGTCGATTGACATTTCATTTTAAAGTTTTGGAGATCGTAGTTTCAGAGGAATGAAAGCAGGAAGACGGAACGGAGTTTCACAAGCGGGGAGTGCGAGAAAAGAGACTGTTAGCATAAAATAGAGTAACGTAATGGTTCGCAAGCTATCCCAACAGAGTATTATTAATGTAGAAAGAGTAATCGTCGCTCGGTGTCAGTGACCTTGTTTTAAACTAAGCTAA